AAACAATCCCCACACACACCTATACTACACACACGCACATACTACGCACACCCCTATGAGCTGAATGTACACTGGTCACACACACAAACGATTCCCACACACGCCTATACTGCACACACGCACATACTACGCACGCCCAATCGCGCGCCTTACATACAGAAGACGTGTGGCACACACATATATACGTATACACACATTGCTATATAAATCTCATATATACGTATACACGTATTGCTATATACATCTCACATATACATATACACGTATTACTATGTGCATCTAATATATACGTATACACACATTGCTATGTACATCCTTTCCTTCACGACACACTTGATACACACACACTCGCTACTTGCACACCTCCACAGGAACACAACGCCCTACACACATACACCCCACATCCACAGAAGGCTATACCTACCTCCACGGGCACAACGCCCTACACACATACACCTCAGATCCACACAAGGCTATACCTGCACCCGCTCCTCCCGTACGCCCGTGTCAACTGGTGTCATGCGGCTGTGTGCCCCTGGGCCTATGCCCAGGTAGTCCCCCCCTTGCCAGTAGTTTTGGTTGTGCACACACTCTGCACCTGGCCTGGCAAAATTGGACACTTCGTACCTGTCCAGTCCTCTGGCGGCTAGTATGGACACGGCGTCCTGTGATATACACGTGGGTGGGTGATAGGTAGGTAGGCGTCCTGTGATATACACGTGGGTGGGTGATAGGCAGGTAGGCGTCCTGTGATATACACGTGGGTGGGTGATAGGTAGGTAGGCGTCCTGTGATATACACGTGGGTGGGTGATAGGTAGGTAGGCGTCCTGTGATATACACGTGGGTGGGTGATAGGTAGGTAGGCGTTTTGTGATATACACATGGGTGGGTGATAGGTAGGTAAGTCCCAACTGCTATGCATGAGTGGTTGGGGATTGTGTGCACATACGGTAGTGTCTGTGCACCTGTCGACCCGTCTGTAGTAAACAGGACCGGGTGGCCAGTGAGAATGTACTAATGGGCCTGATGTAGGTGACTCCCCGAGCATCTCCAAGGGATGTGTGGGGAAGAGTACAGCGGTTTGATTGAGGTGCCAGCATCACAGCAGGCTTACTTGCATCTGATGTATACCATCCTAGAATACACTTATTACACATACTTATATCATACTTATATCTGTTGTTTACTGTCCTAGATAACGCTTGTTACTGACAGCAGGCTTACTTGCACCTGTTGTTATCTGGATACGACATGCAAACTCAGTCAGCCCCCACGGCTCATAATCAAAGAGCTGTGCTCATGAATCTACACACAATGGACGTGAACATACAAACGTACATCACTACAGTACTACAAACGCGTGTGCACGTAACGTTGCTATACATCTATAACCTCGCTGTGAACCGAATACACCTCAACAGCCTGCTAACCAATGCCTGAACTGGCGCAAACGACCATCTGTCTACACAGAAGACATGGTGTCATTAGTTAGATATAGGTATACATGTACCTGAGACACTTGCCTATGCTTATGCTTACCACGTACATATTGGCCATGGTGTCATGAGATAAATATACGTATACACGTACCTGAGACACTCCCCTATGCTCATACTTACCTCGTACATATCGGCCGTAGTGTCATGAGTTAAACATACGTATACACGTACCTGAGACACTCCCCTAT